AAATAGTCAGAGACATCTCTGAGTTTGAGGCCAGCCTGGTCTACAGTGAGTTCCAGGACAGTCCCCGGGCTACACAGAAAACCCGTCTTGAAAAGGAAACAAAACAAGAGGTAAATGGTGAAGATAAACCCACTTTAGACAAGGTGGGGCCTTGAAGTCACAACACCTTGTGCTCATCTGACCCAGAGGAGCTCTGTTGGGGGGGGGGGGGAATGCAGAAGTACATGAGGATTCTCCTGCTGCTGCCAAAGGCACAACTTCTCCTGGGACAGATGGGAAGCACACACAAAGCTCTCTAAAAATTAACATACTCTAGCTGGGTGGGCATGATGCTACACACCCTTAAAGCCAGCACTTAGGAGGCTGTTAATAGGAAGATTAGAAAGTTCAAAGGAGGCCATGAGTATCTCACAGGTTGGAAGGCCAGCCTGAGATATCTAAGACCCCCATCTCAAATAAATAAACAAACAAACAACAGTAACAAAACCCACACATCGTCTTAGGCCTAAAATAGTGTAAGAAGTTATAATACTGAAACTATAGAAACGGTGCCCAGTTGTTTTACTAACAGGAAGCATGGTACAGAGGTAATAGGAGCTGAAGCCATATCTATACGAACAACAAACACTCATCAGGTTGAATTGATGTATTTATACATATGTTTTTATACAGATCTAGGTAACAATAATAGTCAAGGAAAAAGAGGCTATCCATTTGAGAGGTTGGGCACAGAGGAATTGGAGGTAGGGAACTTGGGACGTACTGGAGAAGGGAAAGCGATGTAATTATATTTTAATTCAAAATGATTAATTTTTTTAAAGAAAGTAATGGGAACTGGCCTATACAGGAAAGCTTATAAACTTGAGGCTCCTGGAACACTTCTGTGGGAATAGACAACTGCCCGTTTTGGTTGCATATTGAAATTTTGACTTACAAACAAAAGAGAAAAACTAAAAAGGGAGACAAATGTTTAAGTTCTACACTGAGACCTTCACAGACCTTTATAGCAATTCTATTCATAATCTCCCCAAACTAGAAACAGTCCATATGACTCTCCAAAGGGAAGGGTAAACTGTGGCATATACATGCAAAGGGACCCTATCCAGCCGCAAAGAGAAATGAGCATTGAGAAGACATACAAGAGCCTGAAACAGTTGCAGAGCAGAACATTCCAACCTCATGACATTTAGGAAAAGGTGAAGCTACTGACGGTTGGGGGGGGGGGCTGTCAGGGCTTGGGAAGGAGGCAGAAATAAATGGGCAAGGTTCAGGATTTTTAGAGCAGTGTAACTTCTCAGTGTAAGTCTGCAGTGGTGAATACATGTCATTATGCATTTGTCAAAATGCAAAGAAAACCAGGCATGGTAGTGCATACTCACCTGCAATGCCAGCATTGCCAGTTATAGGCATGAAAATCATAAGTTCAAGGGGATCCTTGGCTACATATGGAGTTTGAGACTAGCTTGGTCTACATGAGTCCCCTGCCCCCTCCTCAAAAACATAAACAAACAAACAAACAAATAAATAAATAAATAGATCAAGAATGCTAGTATGGATTTTTCTGATCAGAACTTTTGCTGATACACTGATATTTTCTGATTAGCACACACCCCTTGGGCATGCAAGACATCACAGATGACAGGGATGGCAGGAGGAGCATGGACTCTCAGTAGATATCTGCTCAGTTCCTGTAAACCTAAAACTGTTCCTCCCTCTCCAAAAAAACCCAGTCCATTAATTTACAATTAACCCATCCCCAAATAACTTCTACATAAGGACATTTCAAAGAACCCACACGCCTTGGGAAACGTGTGAGCAAGCTCCTTTTTCAAAGGCAGCTGAGAAAACCCAGATGCGCCAAGTGTGAAGCAGCAGGCCTTGCCAAGGCTCAGACATCCTGGACTGCTGACACCTACCTCAGACTCAACAAAACCCTTCTAATGGGGCTTAGGAGGCAGAGTGGGGGAGGGGAAGAGGAACCAAATTCTTACTCCGAGAATTAACAATTTGGAACATGCACAAGAGTGTCAACGAGTTATGTAGATCTTATCAGCGTTGCATTTTTGGTGCCTCCCAGCTATCCAGCCAGGCTCCACCAGCCTGTCAGCACCGACAGCATCCCACGCCTGTGAGGGCCTATCAACACCTCTGGAGGCTCTTCTAGGCCAGTCCTGCTTCCCCGGAGCCCACAGGAGCTGGGAGTCTGATTGTCTTTTTCCTCTCAGGGTACCCTGCACTCTGAGCATGAAAGCCTGCTCCCCACCCTGTGGCTTGGCTGGTGCTCCATGTCCACTAACATTGAAAAGAGAGCTGAAGGTAGAAAACCCAATGCCCTTGCATTTCAAGGAAGAGAGTGTACATGGTTTCAGCCTTGTGAGGATGAATTAGGCAAAGTCATCATGGCTGAAGCATTTTAAGTTCCTCTATTTGCAGGTGGAACTTCACAATCTTGCAAAGTTATGAACAAGGGAGGGCATGCCATTGAGCTCTTTTCCCTGTCCCCTGACAATGATCAGAGCACTTGTAGCTCTGGGTACGGGTGCACAAGCCTGCACAGGGACATGCACATACATACATTTATGTGCACCCAGTATACTTATGCTCCACAATAATGCAAACCTTCAAATGTAATTTTGCTTCAGAGCATGTAAAAGCACTGATGGAAATGATGGTCTTTGTATCTTGGCTTTCTTCCACAATCACCTGTTCATTTTGTGAAAGTCAGTGAATGACTCTGTTTGTTTTCATTTGTAGGCAGCTTTAAGTGCCCTGAAACAGTTTTCTGAACAAGGACTGGAATCAATCGATGGGACAGTGGATGTTGAGAAAGGTTCTCTTGAAAAGTGAGTAAACCCCCTATTTCTACTCTCATATCTATGCAAAAGATGAGCCATGATAATTGTATGGTTCAAAAAATCCAAACACCAATGGCTAAATCTTGCAAAGTTCTTCAGACCTCAATTCCTGTATGTATAGTCAAAATCAATTCTTCTAAAATGTCTGTGGACATTCTAACTTGTGAGTTGGCCATTGTCCCCGAATTTCAATGCATAGAGGGAAACCCTGACAACCTTGTTGACTGTAGACAGTTGCACTACTGACAGAGGACTGTTTTCACTGCATACTGTTAAGCATTCTCTCACCAACTCAGTTTTTGAGCCAAAAAAAAAAAAATTGCACTTAAATTTCTTCTAAGTACAACGGAGAGAAAATCAAGTGGGACTGAAAGGAGCCCCTGCCTCTCTTTTTCAGCATTTGGTTTTTTATTTTGTTGCATGGAACATTAGCACACCCCATCACAGAAATAGAGCTGCCAGGGACTGCAGCAAACATACAAGTATAATCAGTATTCCTGAAAGCCAGCTTATGGCTTTTTATGAGATTTGAATATAAGGCGCTATGGAAGTGACTGAGTTTGGAGTTTCTCTAGAGACCCAATTTATACTAGCAAAATGAAAAGTCAATTATATTCACATAACAGAGCCCAAACACTTTCAAAACCATAACAAGAGCTGGTGCAATCTCAGAACTCACACAGAAAGAAAACCTCTGAATTAAAACACAGAATTTGGTAAGGAAAAAGTAGATATGCTGATCCTACAGTTAAATGAACATACAAAAGAGCATTTGGTCATTTATCTTGAAAAGTAAGAAGAGCGTGAGAAGAAAACATTCGGTAAACAGACATGGCATTGTAGGTTGTCTATAGATTGGCAACCATTTATAAGCTAATTTAATCAAAACCATTTCCACATGATCTCATCAGCAGACTATCTGAGCATAAATATTGTTGTTTCACTTTAAAATGTCACTTTTGTGGTGACCTTTGTATCCTGTGTGCCATCTGCTAATAAACATGTCTGAAGATGTGCAGCTCCAGACCTCAGCTCTTGTTAACGTATTAATCTTTCAGACAAGCCAAGCACCGACGAGAGAAAGCCGACAATAACCAGGCGAACCCGGGCTCCATCACTCAGGACTGCAAGAAATCAAAGTCGGCCATCTAGCAGCTCCCAGAACCCACGGCTGCCACCGTGTCCTTATAAACCTGTCAGCACGCATGAGGGTGTCTGTGTTCAAGGAAATGAATGACTAATACCATTGTCTAGAGTCTTATGTGAAGACAACACTATTCTAACACAAGAGATAATGTACATGGTACTGTTTATCCAACTGGGGGAAAAATAAAACTCTGAGCATTTCCCTTGGAACTTGAGATCAGATCATAACTCGTTTGCCCAGAGGCAGCAGAAATCTGATCCCACTACTGGAGCTTAAAAATAACAATTAATGAAAAGTGTTAGAAACAAAGCTAAAGTTTAAAAATGATTCCTAGCGAAGTTGGGTTTGGTTCTGTCCTTACGATTGTTTTGTCGTGGCGATTGTGTCGTTATACTCTCTCTTGTTTGAAATAATGCTTGACAATTCAGAAATTAACCAATGATGTGCTGTGGAATGTGATGGTTGTCTTCATATAGTCGCACAGTTTCCCTTTTTATGCAAATATTTGTAATCTTCATCTTGCACACACACATGCAAATTACTTTAAGGTGCATTGCACAAAGATGTATGCAAATAACTGTGTTTTAAATCAGGTCAGAGATAATTGATTTAAAATATAAAATAATACTAGGAACAAGTAGTTTCCACGTCTTTCAGGACTTTTAAAAAGACAAAATGAAACAAAACCGAGCAGTTGTGGGTTTTGTGCTACATGACGCCATTAGCCATCGAGGGGGCGTCTTGCCTCTGCCCATCTACTCTGTCGTGGAAATTGTGCCCACCCCCATCCGTGTGTTGTAATCACTCACTGTTTGCATCGAGTGTCTTTAGTAACTGCCTCTGGACTCGGGACAGTGAGTAGGATCAAAATAAATACTGTACATGGTGGGGAAGGGAAAGCCTGTTGGAGAAGTGTCTAGCTAACCACGCTCTGGACCAGCATGTTGGAATCCATCGTGGGGCAAATGCAGTAAAGATTTGATCAGTTTCTGTACGAATTGTTGTTCTTTCTTTCCCTCCCTCCCGCCTTTTAAATGTCAGCGCTGTGAAACCTGTGGGGAGGGAAGGTCACCACCCAGCCTCACTGTCCTGCCAGCCATGGAATTAAAAGTGGCTGTATCTGTGAAACTGCAGGCGGCCTCCAGGGTGACTGGGGCCTGAGTAGGGCCTGGCCTAGCCAGCCACTGTCATCTCATTGTTCAGGTTTTCTCCTTATTGATTCGCAAACATTGTGCAATGAGAAGGCACTGTATGGTCTAACTGCTTGGCCCAATCTGACAATAGGGATAGAATTATGTAAGATTTCACAAGCAAAACCACTACACATCATGATCTGGCTGACTCACACGCGACTGGAGGATAAACAAAGAGCACCATAAGGAAAGAACTCCAGTGTTGTTAATGATTCCCATGTGGGGAAGTCTGCCGGCATTGGGAGGGCTGGGTGCCCTTGGAGGAAATAGGCTTGGTTACATAAGGCTGGGACCCAGCGAAAAGAACAACATGTTTGCAAAGTTGGGGTTCTCAAAGGTGTTTGTTTGGGCACAGTCCTGCTGCCTAATCAAGGACATGGGGACCCCCTAACTCATTCCCTTGGCAGGAGGTTGGCCCTTGCTTTTGCTAGGACTGAGGCTTCAGCACCTGGATGAGGTGAGGGCTGACTTCCTGCAGGGCTACTGGAGCCATGGTTCTCCTAACACCACAACCTTCTACAGAAACAGTGAGCTGGGCAGGTCTGTGGGAAGGTGTCGAGCTCAAGGATCACAAAACTCTTCAGTTCTCACGACCCAGGTATCTGAAGTATTTGACCAGAGCTGTCTGACAAGAGAGTCACCTCCCTGAGCTGAATCATTTCCAAACCCACAGAGCTGCAGTGATGACCAGAGACTTGACATTTGCATAAATTTTAATTCCTCATCTAAAATCTCGAGCCCTCTACCTTCTAGAATTGCCCAGGAAGATGATGCTATTCATGGAATAGTGGCACTTCCTGCACATCTTTTGATTTTTCTTTCTTCTCCTTTTTTTTTTTTTGTCTTTTTTCTTTTTCTGTTCAATTGCCAATGCAAATGATGGGTGGCCTGCATCCCTGGCAAGGCCCTCTGCAGTGCTTAGCTCCACAGCGCAATGTTATATATCATTAGAGGGGAAACCATTAAGTAGATTTATTGAAAGAATGTTTCTTCGGCACAAGGAGATCTTTTTGATGAAAAATGGAACTCATTATTCTTTAAAGGACACAGATTGACTTATCTCCTTTATCAATTACAGTGTCTGCTTTCAGCTTGTCTCAATCAGCACAGAGCTTTGTAGTCACTTCCTAGGGCTAAGGCCAATGTGCTGCATGAAAAAGGTTTGTTTTCACATTTTAATTGGAAATATAATATTGCACTCTGGAACTCCGACTATCTTTTCCACTACCACTTGCCAAAGATCAATGGTGAGACACCACCCATCAGGCCATGACAGACATTCCTCCCCTTCCCCCGGGGTGACCACCCCCAGTGGCTGCCCGGCCTTC